CCCCAAAACCCCAAAACCCCAAAACCCCACTTGATAAAACTTATAACATAATTCAAATTTAAACAATAAATCAAAGAAATGTCAGTTGTGGCTGCACCTTCCACTTCTCAAAAAACTCTTCAAAATCCATTCCTAAAAAACCTGACTGAGAATGAATATGACCCATTGAATGATACGCAGTAATAATCATAGAAGACTTTGATTAAAATACAGAAGCAAGAGCAGAAGCTTTTTAAAGAATTTTACAAGAAAGCAAAGAAGTCACTTATCATAGAGAACACAACAATGGCTTTGGCTTCCAGATATGAAGCATATATGAACATTATTAGGGACAGCGATATTAAGATAAAAGCACTAGGATTCTGGCAGTGCAATATTGTGAACTAGAAGTTATTTGATATAATCACTCTAGCAAGTGAATAGCATAGAGAGGAGTTGCAGAGTTTAGAAATATCTGATAATGCCTAGACTCTAAAAAAGAACACAGCAAAAGCAATAGGGGAGATGTTCCTTAACTTAGACACGAAGTCCACAAAAGTCTCATTGTTCTTGCAAAGATCTAGCATTTCTCCATAGAGCATGTAGCTTCTAATGAATCTTTTGGCATTGTCTAAGATTAGGTAATTCACTTTAAATTAGATGGGATTAAATGAAAATCACCTGAAGAACTTTTCCTCACTTATGGCAGGTAACAAAAAGATAGACTTTATATCGATGTAGCACAATGATCTCAGGATGGATGGCTGTCTATACATCTCACAGGGTTTAGTATATGCTAAATCTCTCAAATCTCTGAACTTAAATGGAAATCGAATTGGAACCAAAGGATTGAAACTCCTTTGTGAATCGCTTAAGGATAATAACAAGCTAGAGTCATTATTCTTGAATGATAACTTTATTGATGATGACATTTCTTTTACCTTGGTTAAGCTCCTGTCCAATCAGCGTAATGTTATCAAGGAACTTCATCTGGCCTTTAATAACTTTTCTCAGTTAGGATTGATTGCAATATTTGACTGTTTAGCATTTAACAACAAACGTCTGAAGTATCTAGATGTAGCTTATAATGTCATCGAAATCGGTATCATGAAATCACTGCGCACTATGATCGAAAAGAACAGTAGTTTGCAGTATCTAAGTATCAGCGATCTTTATAAGTTCAACAGGAATGCCATAAATACTTTAGTTGAATGCTTAGCTCTAAACAAGTCACTTAAATTGGTTGATTTAAAGAAATGTACGAAGAGCTTTTATACCAAAATAATTTAAGAGGTTAATATGTGCAGAGGTGATAAGCCAATTATTTTCTTAAAAGACGATGGCTATATAAGGACCAGAGGGGCTATTGATAAGATATTTAACGATGAAGACGGAGAGGAGATCAAATCAAATTCTAAGAAGTATAGAAGCTATACTCCTTAAAAGGCTTTGGAGGAGAGTAAAATGCGCTAAAATCAGATTCAAATTTAGAGACCAAAGACAGGGGATTTACCTAAAAGAAGAATAATGTAGAGAGAGGCTTCTGTGGAAATGGATCAGGACGATATGATAAATATTAATACACAACTGGATTACTAGCCATCAGTAGTGAGATCTGCCAGGTCGGCTAGGTCTTTGGAGTACTCTGATATGAATTCCCCTGGAGATTCCTCATTTAACTACACTTTTTAGAAGAATTCATAAAGAGAATCAATAGCTTCGTCTAAGAAGAAATATGTTCCCCTGAGAAGTCCTTCAAGAGAAGAATTAGCTCAACACTATTAGAACATTCAAAATGTATAAAATTAAAACCCTAGCCACTTTTCTAGTTTGAATTCTAATAATTTCCAAAGCATTACTGATGATAGAAGAAGGTTTTCCAATAACTCAATGGATGACCCCAATCTAACTAGTTCCAAAAGCCCTAAGAGAGTTTAGTTCGCTAATGACATCAAGATCTTTAAAGATAAAGAGAGATAGAAGCAACTCTAAGAGCAAAATGAGAAGTTGGCTTTGGAGAGCAAATAAAAATAGCAATCAAAAGCTAAGTTAAAGTAAAATATCAATGGCAAATAGTAGTAGCCAAAGAGTAATGAGCTTCAGGAAAGTTAAGTTAGTTTAGAGTCCTTTGGAGCTCAATCATAAACCAAGAAGAAGAAAATTTAGCCACTGAGGCAAAGATCCTCGAGCAGTAAAAAGAATAAATAGAATAGTTCTAAATACTCAAATAAAAACAGCACGTTGAAGCAGAGTGCAACTATTGACTCAAATATGACTTCTTCCATTTTGTCTAATACACTTAATAATTCTTAGAAGAAGGGAATTTTGAAGGGCAAGCTGTCTGAAATCAACGCCTCTAAGCACGAAGAATCTCAACTTCATCCTTCATCTGGTTTATCAAGCGCAGGCCTTAACAAGTAGCTTTCATACAATCAAACCAATCATGTCAATCCCAGTACACTATCTTAATACTCTCCAAGTCAGTATACCTCATTGGAATCAAATTCCTACTTCTCTAGCTAATACTAATAGACGCACAACAATTAGCAAAGATAGAATTTGCTATTGCAAAAGAGCACTCTTGACCGAATTCCATCTTAAAGATCAACTCTTCAGAACAATCAGAGCATATCATACAACAACAATAACAATAATACGATCAACTAGAGCATGGCTACGTCTCATATGGATGATAGCACATCATTTGCATTAAGTCCAGAGGAGAAGGAAAATCTGAAGTATAACATGAAGAATGACAAGGTAGTCGTGTTTTACAAGAAGATACTGGGAGAGATAAGAGACGTCATTAGAGAGGAAAGATCTAACATCAAGAAATACCTTAATTGAACTTAATACTATAATTATAATTATTCGGAATATTTTTCATTAATATTTAAAGTACTTTGTTAAAATATTAATTATATATTAATTATTTGATATTTTTCATTAGGGGTTTTGGGGTTTTGGGG